TAAAGCACCTCGGAAATCCATTTGATGCACAAAATCATAAGAAATAGAGGTGATGAGAATAATATCTAGTGTTCCTATCAACCAACTCTGCAAGATTTAGCTTGAGACTTTATCTGTAATTACAGTTACTTGTTCTTATCTCAGTGAGTAACTGCAAACACAACACAGCCTCAGAACAGCAAAGTTACATTTCAAGTTTTGTCTCTTTTCACCTTCCAAAGAATTGGAAAAAAAATAGGCAGTTATAAACTAAAAAATGCACAAAATGTTTCCCTTACACATTCATAAGCTGGCAAGAAGTGATGCTTAGCACAATAAGATTTAGCCTTTCACAGGTGCTTTCTGGAGGTGTTACTGGAGGTGTCAATTCTGCACAACGGTCAGAAACCAGAGGTCTGGTGCCAGGAACCCTCAGTCTCCTAAATCCATAATTTGTCATTTGGCTCCAGTTTCTCTTTTGCTTGGGTTCATCAATGCTCTCTCTGCACTCTTTTATTAGCAGAAGTGAATAGGAAAAAATTTTAAAGTAAAGGAAATTCAACACAATCCTGGATTGTATGACTCCCACTTCTGGAGTCCTAATCCACTGGGCTGCCTGCACCATTAGCTAAAGCTATAGAAGCAGTGCACAAAGAGGGAAAGTGCTTTGTTTTGGTACTGTAAGTCAGGCAGTAAGAGCTGGGCACTGTCCATCCTAGATGAAGGCAACTTCTGTTTACCATATCACACCTTAGATTCCCCATGGCCTCAAAGCAAAACAGGCCTTATTTTTGCAATTGCCCCCTAGGCCAGCATCATGCTTCAGTGGACTTATTCTTGGCATCACATGTGTTTTCTCAGATATAACATTTTCTTTACTTTCTAATGGTAAATTTAACAGATTACCCTATGGACTAATTTTTATCCAGTACTTCTTTTCCCTGAAGGGCTGGAATTGTACCTAATACACTGACATAAAATCAGCATAACCACTGCAAGCAGAACTCTACCAACACCACTTGAAAGCATATTGTGCAAAATCACAATGTGGTGGAAAAAAAAATTCCTTTACAACTCAAATCACATCCTCCAAATAGCCACATTTACAGCACAATGTGTAAATAAGGGTAAAGATTTATCAGGCAGTTTTAAGAAAATACATTAACAGAAAAAGCTTAAAGGAGAGTGGTGTTTTTCTATATATAACAGTGATTTTCTTCTGTGAAGAGTTCTAATGTGTTTTTCAGCTAATTTTTGCAAACCCTCTTGTCTTACTCATTCCAGTATTAAAGCAAAAAGGAACATTTCCGTACATAATTTTAATTATATTTCTCTTTTGCTAATAATATCTAAAACTCAACACACTACAAATATTTGAAAGGCATCAATCCTATTTGCAAAGCCAATTAATTTTATCAAGCTCAAAATAGCTGAGAAAAGTGTCAGTCACTTTTTCTACAGAATTTCATGTACTGCAAGAAACAGATTGTACTTATCATATTATCAAAAACTTACTGCCAGTTTACAAATATATTAGGCAGGAGTACTTCTCGTGCAAGGAAACATTCTGAGCTCAAAACCCAAGAGAGCTAGAAGGGAACTGTAATACATTACAGCACAGCAGTCTCCCCTTTCAGAAGTCTGAAGACCTAAAACCAGCTATTGCCCAGCATCTTCCTTACTTCCTTAAATACTCAATTTTCCTACCACTTTTTATACATATAGACTTGTGTCACTGAATACATACAGTATGACAACTTACAGAAAAACATACAACCCTTATGATCAAATTTTATCTCATAACAATAAAGTATAGCTAGCCATTAACAATTAGTTTACGAGAGGAGACTTGCATGAGAAATGCCTCACCCTGAGATCTCTGTAGAATGACCTAAATTCTGGAAGCATGGAAGCATCCTCCAACTGCCTTCCTCCTAAAAAGCTTTTTACTGCTCTTTTTTCCATAATTTTTCAGATATTCCAGCTTGTCTAGCCCCCTAAGCCACCTGAATCTTAGTGACGTTCTCACCACCAAAACTCAGCACCAGTATCTTTTTCCTTGCACTGCTACAAGTTACAACATCTCCCTTATGTTAGTTCAACAGAATAATCTTCTAACTGTCAACCTTCACTAGCCTCTTTATTCTCCTCAAAGTTCTCAGATTTAATCTGGTAGTCCCTCCAATATTTAGCCCTACCCATCAGATCTAGGTTTCGGCCAAATATATTCATCTTTGTTGATGGCAGTAGCCTCAGCTTAACCCTTCTCAAAATGTGAGGATTGCCGCTGGCTGAGCAGGAACCAGCATAGCACTGTCTCCACTCCAGCTGCCACCCTCCACTTGGACCTTGCTTTTCAGATGGCTTTAGAATGCTTGGCATAACAAGGTCCCAAGTTTATTACCCTTTAATGCTACCACTGCCATGTAAATCTTGAGTAGTGGCAGCTTGTACGAGATAGTTTATGGAGTATCTGTCCTGGTGCTGCTCAAGTAGTCTCTATTACAGAAGGTGAAGCGAGAAGTTAGTATTTGAGTTCAGGTTTATAATCCCCCATCACAAGTAGGCAATAGAAGCACATTTGGAAGTGACCTCAGTTTATAAGATGGTCCATTTTGAGACCGTGTAAACAAAATGCCGGATGGCAGTGAAATAAAACCTTTATGCCCATGTGAATATACACGTATATATGTATTCCTATTTATGTTATGGCAACTCCACACTTTTCTTCATGCTGTTTGTACCTTCATGTGCACTGGAATCAGTCAGCTTTAGTCCCAGTAGTTCTATTAGTTTTTATCTCCCAGCATTTTCTAAAAGTGGCTCATGGTGACTGATATAAATAAAAGCAGCTTTTTACAGGAACAACAAATTTATAACTTTAATAAGACTGCCCTCCTTCCTGCATTAAAGTCTGCACTATATGACAAATCAGGTTAAGTAAGCTGGTATCAAATCTGAAGCCAAATGCATTTTTGAGCCAAATCTTAATTCTCTGAAGAGCTTCAAGCATATTTGGAAGATGTTAAATTATTGATAAGGAAAATCAATTATTTTTCCAGCTCAGGCAATGTCATACAGTCACAGGATATGCAGTAGCTAAGGCAGATTTTTTGTTTTATTTACTTCATGACCCTTTAGAATTAAATCACCTAGTTTTTCCCTCTTTAGAATCCTGATAAAGTCACTACTACAGCTTAACAACTTCTGTTAATTTCAGATACAAAGAAAAGATTTGCCTGAAAACAAACTGTCAGAAACAGACAAGAAAAACATGAGACTCCAGCGTATTCCTAGATTTATTTATTAAACTCATTCCACCAATATCATTAAACCTGGACACTTCAGCAAATAAACTGCAATCTGACCGTGAACAGCCTCCTGTTCTGGGTCTGAAAAGGTCTGAAATAATAAAACACGTTCCATCCATGAGGGCATCAAAACAGCAAACAATCCTGGGAGAACGCTGGCAGATAGCAAGAACAGTTCATTGCAAACTTCTCCAAACCAAAAAATTAGTAGTATCTACATATATCTACTTCCAAGTTATTTCAGTCCCAGTGATTTTATCCAGTATCAATCTCCTAGCTTTTCTAGATAAAAGCTTGGGCACAACAATGAATATGGTGATGGAAGCATTTTTAAAAGTACCCCAGCCATTATAGTACAAGATAATTAAAAGAGGGGAAAAAATAAAATGTTACTAATCTTTCCTGTTCTAAAGTATAACAGCAGTATTGAGTAAGCAATTATTTACCAAGGATCTACAACCACCCTCATTCTCTTTCCCAGAAACATCCTAACAATCAGTTTTAGGACTTCATGACATCATATGGTGAGTTAATGGAGAATTCCCTTGAGATTTCTATTGAAGATGTCCAGTTTAGTAAAAAACATGCAAGTATCTGACAGATGAAAAACTGACTCTCCAGCTTAGTTAGTTACTGTGCTTCTCCCATTGGATATCTCAGACTATATCCCATTGTACTGTTGTATAGAAAACAACAGCCTTAACAGATAAAAATTAGTAACTGTGTGCACACAAACAAAAATATCTTTTGTCCCCTGAATATCCTACCAGTTAGGCCACCCTCCAAGATGCCTCTGCCAAGTGCAAAAGATCTGTTCCCAATTCTTTGATGGTTGTCCCCAGAACTGAGAAAATGCAGATTATTTCCTGTAACTGATGTGAGCCATCAATGCTGCAGCTCCCAATATTCCCAATTAAACCACTCAGAAAAATGAGAGAGGTTGCAAACAACCACTAAACAAGCAAATTCATCTTTTTGATTAATAAACCATCTCTAAGAAAATCCCTTCTAAGTTCTAATATGAAACCCGCAATAGTAATAAGTAATAAATGCCTGTTTTTCAATCAGCCCCAATTCAAATGTGAGATAGCAAATATTCAGACAGGAAAACTATCTGAAAAACACAGATATTAGGCCCTCAAAATAGAGCGGAATTAATTCCTTTGTTGTAAGTGACTCTCTCTAAGCTCCGATTTTCACGATACTGATTTTCACGATACAAATTTTCTGATCTAATTAAATGCGAAATCTGCCGCGGCAGGAAGCTCACCTAAGTGCTCTAGAGAGAGCTCATACGTCTAGGCAAAACATAGCCACTTGCGGAAGGTAAATAACAGATGTTGTTTTTCCTTCTTACTTAACTACTACTGCATCTGCCGCCTCCGCACCCTTGGAGCCCGACAGCTCCCGGCAGGGTGAGGGGGCAGTGGGCAGCGGCGGGGGCAGCGGCAGGGCGGTGGCGGTGACCCGCAGCGCTCCCCGGACACCGGCACCCACGCTCTGCCAGGCTCCCGGCCCGCAGCAGAGGTACCACCACCCATGGCCCCCACGGGCCCCTCCTCACAGCCCCCGGGCCCGGCTCCGGACCCGGCTCCGGGCCTTCTCCATGCTTGCCGGGCACAGCGCGGAGCCGCCCCGCAGCACCGCCCCGCCCGGCCCCGGCTGCGGCGCGCACCGCGCAGGCGCGAGGCCGCCTCTTCGCCGCGCGCACCTGCGGAAGGCGCCCCGAGCGCGGCCGCCCGCGCCCCGCCTGCCGGGAGCGCCCGATCCCGCGTGTCCCGCTCCCGCATTCCCCGCTCCCGCATTCCCCGCAACCCCTGCGGAAGGGATGGCGGGGGCGAGCGCGGCCCTGCTTGCGGGGCTGCTGGGGAGGCTGGCGCTGGTGCTGTACGGCCTGCACCAGGACCGCACCATGCGGGTGCGCTACACCGACGTCGACTACCGGGTGTTCACGGACGCGGCGCGGCTGGTGACCGAGGGGCGCTCGCCCTACCGGCGGGCCACCTACCGCTACACGCCGCTGCTGGCCTGGCTGCTCACGCCCAACGTGTTCCTCGCCGAGGCCTTCGGGAAGCTGCTCTTCGTGGCCGGGGACCTGGCGGCTGCTGGCGTCGCTTACCGGGCCCTGCGGAGCCGGGGGGTCGCCGCCGGCCGCGCCTGTGGGTGCTGCGCCGCCGCCTGGCTCCTCAACCCGCTGCCCATGGCCGTGTCCAGCCGGGGCAACGCGGAGGCGCTGGTGGCGCTGCTGGTGCTCGCCACCCTGTACTGGGTGGAGGCGGGCAGCGTGGGCAAGGCCGCCGTGTGCTACGGGCTGGCCGTGCACATGAAAATCTATCCCCTGACCTACGCGCTGCCCATAGCGCTCCGCCTGCGCGCCCGGCCGGGCCGCGGGGAACGGGCGCTGCGTGCGCGGGGTGACAAAGCGGCAAAGGTCGCGTTCATGGCGCGCCTCTGGCACCTTTTTCTAAAGATGCTGAACCGCGACGTGCTACTCTTTGGAACAGTTGCCGGATCAGTGCTGGCTGCCTTGACTGTGGCATTTTATCACCTCTATGGCTGGGAGTTTTTGGAGCACGCCTACCTCTATCACCTGACTAGGAGAGACATCCGTCATAACTTCTCTCCCTATTTCTACATGTTGTACTTGACTGCAGAGAGCAAATGGAGTTTTGCCCTTGGGCTCGCAGCTTTCCTGCCCCAGCTGCTTTTGCTCCTGGTTGTTTCCATAGCGTTCTACAGAGACCTTGCCTTCAGTTGTTTCCTACACACCGCTATTTTTGTGACTTTTAACAAAGTATGCACATCCCAGTACTTTGTCTGGTATCTCTGCCTTTTGCCCATTGTAATGCCTAGTATTAAGATGTCCTGGCATAGGGGTGTGCTGCTTCTCTTTCTGTGGTTCATCGGACAAGGCCTGTGGCTTACTCCTGCATTCTTTCTGGAGTTCAAAGGATATAACACTTATTTATTTATATGGTTAGCAGGCTTGCTTTTCCTTTTAATTAATAGCTTCATAATTGTTCAGATTATTACACATTATCAAAAAGAAGCACAAGTTGCAAAAAAACTGAAGCAACGGTAATGAACAGTCCAAAATCGAGAAACAGCCCTACTGTCTTTGGTAATGTGGTAGCATATCACCAGCACTTACAAAAATGAATGTAAGTTGTACTAAAGCACACTGTGTGTAGATGTTACTGTTTCAGGGCCATGAGAGCACTGACTGGCCTCAGTTACCCTGAGCAGCCCCAGTCCTGCCCTGAGCAGTGTCAGCAGGTGTACCTCTCTTTCAAGTGCGGGTCTTGAACCTGCATTGCAACCCTCTCTGCAGCACTGCCTGTCCTCCCGCTCCTGACTAGAATCCCTGGAAGTATCCTGGACCAGTTCACCACTTAACCACCTTTGGGGCTCTGGTGAATGGGCTCTGCCCATCTGCACTGATTGTCACCTGCTGCCTCCAGAGACAGTGGGGCTGTGCCCTGCTCTTTGACCCGTGTGCTGGGGCCACTCTCAATTTTTGCTCATACTCCCTTATGGAGTAGCCCTGGCACCTTTTTTCTTATTCTCAGTGTTAGCCTGTTGAGGACCTTGGCCTTTATTTAGAATAACACAGAAGAACACACAGGTGGAATTTGGTTATAAAATTGGAGTTTGACAGTTTTGTACATTCCAGTAGGTCAGTGGGGTGCTTGGCAAGGCAATCGCTCAACATTTACAGTGGGGTTTATTTTTAATTTTGTTTCCACAGTAACATTTTAGCTATGCACTGTTTTAGGCTTGTACCTGGTCTTTATGTCATTAACTCTTTGAGGCTTTTAATTTATTTTGGAATTCAAATATGCTACTCTCACTTATTTTTTCATATTCTGTTCTATTTGAATTTTTGAATAGATTTATTTCCTTTGCCATGGAGGAAGATTTTCCCATATACCTGTCTTGGATCACAGAGATGTATAAAGCTTATATATTTGTTTCTTCCTGCCAGGTTCCAGAAAAAAGGCCACTGCCTTAAATTTCAGTTAATATATGGTTATTGTGGGTGTTAAAAGTAGCAAATACAGAATTAAAGTAAACTTAGAATGGCACCTCTGTCCCAAAATCACTTGAGTTCGTACCAAAACAGTAACTGGTAATGTTGTTTCTCAGTGATTCTGTTTCTCTGCTATTATAAATAAATGAAAAAATAAAAGGAGTTGAGGAAATGGAGCAGTTGCCAGAAGAAAAGGGAAGTTTTGAAATAGGAAGCTCTACAACTTACCAAACACATTTATTTCCATAGGAGAGACAGGAAGAATTGGAATTGAGTGACAGGTAATAGTGATAGGAGAGCAGAGCCATTTTGGAATGGCTCTAGAACATTCCATAAGAGGTCTGATATACCAGCTTTTGACAGAGGTTGAAACTGACAATGTATTTTAATAAAATCTAGTTTAAATAGGCATATACCAAATAGAAGAATTTTCATATTTGCCTCACCATTTAGTTACAGCCAATGTGATATTGAAACCCCTGCCATGCTGCCTCTGAACCCTGGTGGTCTCCTGAGGCAGCTTTCAGCTACCTCATTTACAGGATTTTCTTTCTTGGTTGTAGTGCTATCTTGTGAAATGGAATTACAGTATTTTAATCTGCGAATTTTTTCCATTGCTTCTCAGCCCCATTGAGGTGGTTACATGAAAGGAGAGGAAACCCCTGAGCCCCCACAGCCCAGAGCCAAAGGGCATGTTATCAGGAAGAGTGACCATGTCCTTATACCACTCTGGCCCAATTTAGACATTCTGATGTGTTAGAAGGAAGATTTTCCTGTAATTTCCATGGTCAGAATATTGAGGGGTGTTTCTGCTCCCCCACTGCAAAGCTTTTTTCTGCTTTCTCACCTGCCTTCAAGCTGTGAAAATCCCGGCAGCCTCTTTGTAAATCCAGAAATTGGATAAGGCAATGGATATTCTTTTGACTTTCTTGGATTTTTGGGGCAGACATGGCACTGATTTCCTTCTTTGTCTGGGATGAAGTTCTATAGCACCAGCCTGTCTACATCTTCCACTGGAGATGTATCAGTCAAACATAAGTATAAGCCACTTGCACACAGTTTTATATTAATCAGCAAGTCATTTTGTGTGTGCTGCAAGTGTGTGAAGCAAAATCATCCCATGTGGCTTTATTCTCCAAGGCAGAGTTGGATATACCCAGCTTCAGCAGGAGACTGAAGAGGCTCTTCTGTGCAATACTTCTGCTCACCCCACCCTGATGTCCAGGCAATGGCTCATTTTCCTTTTCAGCTGATCTTCCATTGTCTGTGATACATCTTTCTGTTGCAAAAAGCATGTTGTCTTCCCCCAGAGCAATGTTCTGTATTGCTTTAACAGAGCTACTTATGCTGTTTGCAGACATTTCCACACCTTTTTTTCCCTTCCTGTTGGCAAAAAAAGCGAATGCAGGTCAAAAGGCATTTCTAACCTCAAAAACCTTATACAAAAAACAGCATTTTAAATTCCTGTATTCATGACAGAATTGTAATTTTTTTAGGTAAGAAGTAATTTCCTTATGAAAAATACATTGTTGACTTGTTGATAGCTACATAATTTTGAGAAGGCAAATTTTTCAGCAATTCTACATCATTTTTCAGAATATGAATTCTGAAGCAGCAACAGGAGCTGAAGGGTGCCTTCCTTTGCAGGTCAGTACCAGTCCTGCAGTGATGATTTGAGAAAGCCATGCATAAACAAGTTATAAAAGGGCTTTTTAAAAAACCTAGATTTACAGTCATCGTTTTAATAATCCAGGATGAGTCCCTCTTTTTGCAGTTGTTTTCCAAATCACCGAAATGTGTTTGTGATTCAGAAGTAATTCCAGTGACTCATAAAAAGTTGGATAAGAGAAATAAACTGAAGGAGGCAAACAAAAAGACATGTGAGAGTTTAGGTCTTGCAAATTGCTTTAAAGAAACGATTCCATAGTTTAATGGAATTGAATTACTTTATTCATTAAAAAAAAACCAGGGTTAAAAGAATTTAATGGAGTACCAAATATGTTACTCTTCTTGGACAAGTTATGGTGAATAGTTATAATGCCCTTAAAATTTACCAAATTAATTTCCTATTGAACATTTATTGCTTTTGATGCTGTTCAGATTATTTTGCTTGATAACCTTGTGTCCATTTATACTCTGATAAGTAGGAACTGAAGTTTCTGAATGTTAATATTCCTTCCTTACCATGGGTTGCAAAACTGTAATGCCAATTTGCTTTTAAAAGGGTGAAATATCCATTGAAGTGTGTCTCATCTGCAGATTTTTTTTCACATTGCACTAAAAGCAGCCCTTAAGGACAAAGTACAAGAGGTGAAAGAGGGAAAAGAAGAATCAAGAAAAGTCTTGATTCTTTGTCTTGATTTTTTACACTGTAGTCTATTGTCCAAAGATTCATTACAGGATTCTCAGGTGACTTCAGGCAAAGCTCAGCATTTAACAATGATTCAATTCAAAGTTTATAAATGCAATTATTAAAAAAGCAGGGTAAGCAAAAATATAATAATAGCTATTTCATTCAATTTTAGTGTGAGAATGCTGAATTACCATCTATGACACAGTGTGCTTACTTGGTCCTTATTAAGTATCTTTTTTGTGTGTGTGTTACTTTCATTGTATTGACTCCTGTAGTAGTAAAGAAGACAATTAGGTGTGCTAAACTGAGCTCATCAGTTACCTGTTTCAAATAAACCATGAGACTTTTACATTTAACAGCAAGGGGAAACTCCAACATTTTTCATAACAATGTATAGAGAAAGTAAATGTTAAGAGAGTAAATTATGAGCAAATTGATTGCTTTTTTTATCTGAGAAGAATGAGTCATTTGCTTCAAAAGGGCTGCAGAAATACATAGTGAACACAGGGAACCTCAAAATACATGAGGTATTCATCGTATGTTTGCCAAAGACAGCTGCAGAATGCATGTCCCAGTGATAGCAGCTTTAAGGAATAGGATTACCCTGAATTTAGGACAAACCCTTTACTCAGACTGAAACCCAACCACTCAAGCAATTTTCATGCTTAAGAGCATATTTATGTGCGCTATACTTATAAGCCCAAACATTTATCTGCATGTACAAGAATCAAAAAGAAAAGTCCCAGTCAATACACCTTTGAATAACATTTTTCAGAGCAACTCTCTGTAAAGCAGGTTCCTTAAATATTTCTTATATTTAGCACTCAGAATCTCTAGTGTCTCTAAAAATTAATTACATGAATTTTGATGCATATGGAAAATAAAATCATGTGCTGCAGGGATCTTGAGATGTAATAGACACAATAAAGAACCGACTAATTATGTGTTTGAAGGTGTTCATTCCACTGGTGTCCTGATATTCTTCATTATAAAAATCTGCACTACACATTTGTGTAGGAGACTTGTTTCAGTTTTTATGTATGATGAATGAGGTCAGAGAGCTACATTTTATAATAGTGAAAGTATCAGAAAGATAATTTCTTTTGATGCAGTACCATTGTTATGAGGTTTATTTTAATTATATTTATTTTTATAGAAGACATTTATAAGACATTAATAAATCGATGCAATAAGTTCATGCAACTATTGCATGCATTTTTTATAGCTGGAATATCTATTTTTCTTTAGTATGGTGAAGAAGACCAAAATTTGTCATTTTTTAATGGTGTAGGTTGATAGTACTTTGAGCAGAATTCCTCATGACCCCTTTCTGGTACGTATGGAGAGGGGTAGGGGCTTCTGCAGAAGAGGTCATTTACTGCCTGCAGTCTTACTTAATGTGTAGATAAAGTTTTAGCTGCAGTCTCTCATTATTCTTAGAGCTTAACTTTCAGACATTAATGATCTCTTCAGTTAAAACATTTCATAGATTGCACATAAAGAAATTATACATAAGAGATCCTCCCTATTTTTCAAGGAAATTGGTGGGGAAGCCAGCTGGAACATCTGTGGAAGAAATGTCGAAAAGAAATGTCTGTATGTGATTAGCTACAAAAACAACTTCAGCCTTGGAAATCAGCTGAAATGCAGTCAAATTGAGCAGTAAGCCCATACTGTGAAATTCCATTATTTATATGAAGGGTATTAGATCAAAAGTACTTTTCATTTTACAGGAGGAAAATGGGATCTTCATAGCAGTTGTCAGGGTGGATGAATATATCTTTCCTCCCTTCACATTATCCTAAGAGAGTCTATAGGATGGTATATGCTACAGTAGCACTTGTGGAGTTGTACAGGTGTGACTTGCATATGCTATTATTAGGCAATATTGTTGGTGTAGCAAGAGGTTATTAGTAAGCAGTTATTCAGAAAGTGCTTTTTGAAGGTTAACTCAAGTAAAATCTGATTCCTGCTTCACAAGTCAGCAGCTATGTTAATTGAGATGGTACTGTTTTGACAGTAATTTTCCAAGGAGAGCTGCACTCTGTGTCCCATATGCTTCCAGTCTGTGCAAAAGAGCATTAATCCAAATCCCCTGGTGATCTGACAGTCAACATTTTTTTAATCTATCCCATGTCCCTCCTACTGATCCAATAGATTGAATTAGCCAGGAAGCAGGCTTAGAAAACAAAGTGGAAAACAAAGTAGGATTAGCCTCCCCTTATCTTCCACCCCACATAGTGTGAATATGTTGAATAATTAAGATTACCTTTTGGAAGAACAAAGTCCCATTTGAGCTAGGTGTTGGAGTACTCTGTTAATATGAAGTATTTTACCCAAATGCACCTGAGAAAAAAATGACTGGTTTGGCTACATGGACTTTTGTCAAATGATGATAAAGCTACTGATAATTTATGTCAGCTTCCATATTAGCACTATGTTGTCATATCTTTCTGAGATGTGTGTGTGTGCAAAACATAGTAACTAAAAATAACAATGCTTGTAAATTCGAGTTTCAATCTTTCCTTACTCAAAGACTTTGGAGGACACATACAGCCATATACTCACTAAAAGAGAAGAAATGCTATATCAGAGAAAATTAATAATTAATTAATTACTAATTGTGTTGTTCCCACAGCTGACACCTTTGGGAGGAAAGTAGCACTTTTTTTTTTATACACAGTCTGGAAATTCACATGAATAACAAGTACTTCACCTTAAAACTGTCAGATGTATTTGAAAATAGATTTTAATTACCATTAGCACTTCCAAGTTTAGTGCTGGCATCATCCAGCTTGTTAATTCCAGCAGTATAGGAACTGAAGTCATGACCAATTTTCCTTCATGCTCTAATAAACTGGCTGATTAAGTATAAGAAAGTTTGTTGTTCAAAGTTAACCAAATGTTTGTTCACTGGAAAGAAATACTGCCCTTTATCTGACACACCAACATTTACATATGCAGGATGGAGCAAAGTGATCAAGAAACAAGGGCAAAAAGTGAGGCCCCAGAAACCTTGCCTGTTGTCTTGCCTCTACCACTAATTTGTCATTAGGAAGTGATTGTAGCTTGATGAGCTGTTTGCCTTAGCCAGTTGTGATGGCTTCAAAAATTTAATTGACACCTTATTTGAGCCACAATGTCTCCTAATCTATTTCTGTAACACACTGCTATAAGTGATTGCAGTCTTGTTTGAAACAATTATGAGTCTGACTGGCAATAAACTGTAAACACTTAACTAAAGACATTCTGATTACAAAATATTCTCTTTTTCTTTTGCATATATTTAAACTTTTGTGGGATAAGTTAGGCTCTCATGTGCATTCCAGCATTGCATTTTTAGGAGAGGGTGAATTACTGTTGAAGCTAAATGAAAATCTGGAAGTGGATAATAGAATTCATCGTAAAAAGCTAGACAATTTAGGAAAATAATTTAGAAAAAATATAGTGAGCTGATACCATAATTAAATAAGATTTTATTATTACTGGTCTGCTTAGATTGCATTAGAAATTTATATTGAAAATGTATTGGGAAAATGAAACAGCAGACAACTCTGCAGCTGGTATAAATAGCTACCTCAGATGTGACAGATAATGGCTCAGGAAATATTTCTGTATATCCATAAAAAATATATTATGCTGTTATCCAAGAAAAAAAGTTACTAGTTGTGCAGACTGTGAAAGGGAACTACAATCCTGCATTCATATACCTGGATCTTTCTGCAAAGCTTTTGTTAAGAGAAGCACAAACTACCAAATTGAAATCTGGACGAGATGTGCTGTGCCAGAAGCAGTTACAGGGAGCTCTGCATTTGCATCAGACTTGTAGGCTTCTTGAACAAGTGCTTGCTGAGAACTGGAGGCCATATCAGTGGTGGGAATGCACAAATGCAAATTTCCCCATAGCATGCTCAGAAATGATTTCTCTGCAGTCTTTTGGTACTCAGATATTGCCTTGATCTATACTGTATCACTGCATGTATCTCCTCATAAATCTATCTATCTTAAAGAGATATATATACCCTGTATAACTATATATATCCTCATCTGTAATACTGCAGGAGCAAATTCAGGGACTTTATGCCCACTCCGACTGGGTAAACATCTGCTAAGGATATAGGAAGAGGCCCCTTTTGGTTTGCAGGGACATGTCAGTCAGGCCTGAAAGTGGAGTAGGTTTGTGTGGATTGAACTCCCTCTAGAAGGAAGGGGTGAAGTTCTTAGCTCTCCCCAAAAGATAACTTGGCTTTTGCAGATGAATTACTAAAGAAAACGGGGAATAAATCTTCTCCTAATATTGGAGACACAGGACGCAGGATGCTAAATTTCATGGCTGTGCATGAAACAATTGATGCCAATACACAGAAAAATATCTCAGGAGCTATTAAATACTAAAACCATGTTCTCTGGTGTTGATAATTAAATAAGCTGCAAATCATTATGAACTAGGGAAATATTTCTAGGCAAATCTCACCTCTGTCTGGTTTTCCTCTGTAGCTGGCCACATTTGGAAAAGGATACTGGTCTGATCCGTGATGGTTGCCCATAGATTCTTAACCACACAAGTGTCCCTAGCAGAGGACTCCCATCACCAAATGTGCTCTATTACTCGGCTAGGCCCTTTATCTGACACACCAATCTGTGTCAGATAGACCCTCAGTTCTGGGCCTGGGTCTCTGCTTGCTCTTTTCTTCCAGAGCAGATGCTACCAGAGTGTGCCAATAAACCAAAACTGCACCTTGTTTCACTGGTATTTCACACATGACAGCTAGCAGCTAGTAACAGATTGACAGGTGAGAAGGGGAGAAAATGGAAATCAAAGCTGACAAAACAGATCTGTTTGATTGAAAAGAGGTGGTTTTAGCTGGCCAGGTAATTAAAAAATAGGTAGATTGAGACAGCTTATTAGGCCAGGTTAATTCAAGCACACCAAACCCCTGGAGCTTGGCTGCCTTCTCTCCCAAAAGGAAACCACAGCTTTTATGGGACTTCACATGTTTTTGATGTGGAGAAAAGAAAGTTTGGGAGTATGATGGAGAAACAGATAAATTGGTACAGCTCCAGCTCCCTTACTAATGATGACTAATGAATGACTTGTGTAATTTCAAAATAAAATTAAGATCCAACCCTTAGCTGAGATTGTCTTCTGTTTTAGCAATAATTTACCTTTAGCTCTGGAATGATATGTACTGCTGTCTAGGATGATTATCTTAGCCTGTAGTTTTGGCTGAAGAAAATAAGTGATTTTTTTGTCAGAAAGTAAGCCCTTTCTACAGATTACTGCAGTTGACAAGACATACAGTTAAAGAGTTTGGCAGATTTGCCATCTAAAACATGATTTAAGTAAAGAGGGAAAAGCAGCATTCCAAGCATAGCCAATGATACCTGGCCTGGATTGACCTATTTTGAGAAATTGTTTTATCTCAGGAATTCAGGCCAGGCTGAAAACAGCTGTTATGCTGGAGAGACTGGAGGTCTGGTCACACCTGGGCTTTTGGCAGCTGTCTTTGGAAGGTCCAGGCTCCTCAGAGACACTTCCTCCAGGGACTGTGCATGTGCTTTGTTGCACTCCTTCCCTCTGTCTAACCTCAGCATGGCATCTCCTGGCTCATAGGGAAAGAAGCACATTTTAGCCTTCTGCTCCTCATCACTTCCCTGCAAGAGCAGCCAAGCATGCCATTGAAATGTGACTTCGGGCAAAAGGAATTTGCTGGTGTTCCCAGTGTTTTGAATATAACAGTTAAAAGAAACTTCACTGTATGTGGTATATGAGCTCAAACTTCTCATATAATACCTGTGTGACCACAGCCACTAAGGCAATTCTTTGCTGTGACACAGCTCCCATCTGAGTCCTGCATCTTACATTTGGTGATTTCGTGTAGATGTGATCTTGAGGTCTTTGAACCTGGTGGCTAATTTTTACCCAGTGCAAAAGATTGCCCTCTAGTTCTCTGTCATTTGTTGGTTCTGATTCTACAGCAATCCCCTGAGAAATCAAAGAAAGCTGTTTAACGCTTCCTTCCAATGTGGAATAGATTATTGTTGGGAAAGTTTCTGCTTTTGTCTAAACCAAATTTGTTTGCTTAATCATTCTCACACTAGCACATTTTCTGTCATTTGACTTCAGGCAGACTACCTCTTGACACAGCCTGCATGCCACACTGGACTCTTTCATCACAATGGGATTGTTCTGCACTTCTGAGAGCCACCTCGACCTGTTTTTTACATTGAGGTTAGAAGCCCAGTAAGAGACATCAAAGGTAAAGTGTTGCCACAAGATGTTTGGAAATGCCTTCTTTAAAGCCACTACTTAACACTGAGTTTGCTGCAGTTTTTTTCTCCCTTCTTCATACTCACAAACTTTTGTCTTTGCCTATGCAGAAAGAGAAGTTTTCTTACAGATGCTTTACAGACAATTTGCAGTTCATGCAAAAATATGTTTTTGTTACAATTCATCAAGGCTAAAACCATATTTATTTGGCAGTATGGAAAATTACAATTTGATCTTTAGTGTTGATTAGTAGCTGGCATTCTGTCTAAACAGGAGGTGTCAGCTGGGGACTTAGCTGCTTGAAATTTGAGCATTACTTGGACCTAAATTAAAGTGTATTTTCAAAAACTGACATAATTACTAAAACTAACACAATTACTTCTCATCAAGCTAAGGTGAATTATTTCCAGTGCTCTGACTGCAGGCCAAATCAAAACACTTTGCAAAGGAAACATGATGCATTAGTGACTGAATCTCCATAGTGCTTAGCAGCTTAAAGGTCAAATATATTCATGAGGACATATAATCTTATGTGTGTCTGGTGAATGAATAAGAAAAATGTATCTGTTAGAGAATAAGAGGATCAGAATATTGAAAAAAAATATTATACGCTTTTACATGGGTATTCCAGATGTTATTCCAATGACAGATGTCTGCAAATCAGTTTCAAGAACACTCATGTAAACTAAAGAATATACTTCAGCCATCAGAATTTAAATAGGTACTTTGCTGCCATATGGCATAACTGTTTTCAAAAAAATGCAATTTTTTTTTTCTTTTCTGGGAGACCAGATGGCAAAGAGGTTGGTATCGAGAAGCTGTCACACCTAGATCATCAGTATCAATCAGTTGCATGGGAGAGCAGGTAATTTTAATATGGGAGCTTTTCAGTAGTTTATACAAATAATGTGTGCATTTATTTCCCAAACAAACACAAAAATATATAGTATGATTCTTGTGATTACTTAAACATGTTTTTTGTGCAATATTGACAAGTCACAGTTTGATGCATCAGAAATATGAACTATCCCTTTTCACAAGAAGTGATCCTTCTATCTTCAGGGACTTACCAGTAACATGTGTAATGTGCAAACCATCCTGATACCTCGGAGAATCCAGACTCTAGCACTGCTCACCAAACATCTTCCAAAAGCATTACAACCACTAAAATGCCTTTTATGTTGCTGGAGCAGATGAGAAAGAATTTATAGCAACATAGGTTATCACCCAAAACAGATGATAAATGTTGTATTTGTGGTTTATCTCCTACTGAAGGCTGCAGAAAAAGCTGCCATGAACAGAAATTCCATGACAAGGTGAGAGCAAACCTCAGTGAAGTTGTTAAAGCATGCCAGCATTTGTAATTTAGTTCAGAGCAGTATGGAAGTTGAGTTCCCCCAGCTGTCCCCACTCTACTGTATGGTGGTTTGCATCACAGAATTTATCACACTGGATTTATCAGGAGTTTTTGCTGTGTCTCAGTGTGAAGGGGAACTTCATTTCTCCCGGTAGCAAGAAGATGACTGTTCAATATAGACCAATAGAGAGGATCAAGAAAACTCTAGTGGTTACATTTTGACAAATTTGTGTTTCCATTTGAATATCCATTACCAGAAAAATTAGGCAGAAAATATGGCCGAGCCTTGAGATTTTCATCAATTAAAAAAAAAAAACAAAAAAAAACAAAGAAAACACGAAATCAGTAGTAGACACAGTAATTCTGACAATCATTAGTCAAAAATCTCAATTCCTTTTTTTTTCCTTCTTGAAACAAAGTATATTTTCTGATGTTTCCATTTCAGTTTTGTATTAGGCTTTCCTGGATTGGTCACTTGGCATGAGCAAAAATTATGCAAGGAAAAAAGAAAGAAAAACATCCAACACAGAAAACAAAAGCATAACATCTTTTTTGAAAGCGATTTTTTTCTCTGGATTAAAATAAAAACATCTGATCCAGTCTGGTTCTGAGCAT